GCTGCTTATCGAACCTACTGGGATAGGAGAAGGTGCATTGGGAAGGGGACAGTATCCTTGGCAAGCTTTGAAGAGCCTTGTATCTTGGATTTTATTTATTTTTTAACCAGAGTACAAGTCTCCTGGGCTCTGCAAGCTCTGAATAGCAAGAAAATGCCTGCTGACAGGGTGGCCAGTTTCCTCCTTGCTTCCTCCATGCAAAAGGATTTGCCTCCTCAGGCTATGATTGTACTGCAGTGCAAAAATACCTTTTGAGAAAATAGCATTTCAGGTACTGGTCTATGTGGGATGGTCATTCAACAGGCAGCTGTCCTGTTATCAGAGCACAGAGCTTAGTATGAGCGCTGAATCAGCTGGAAGCAATGGGAAAGTCAGTGTTAATTAAAGGAGTGAATGGGCTTGCATGGAGGACACAGAGTTCAAGACCACACCACAGCTACAAGTGACATGGGCATAGCACCTGTGGTAAGCGGAGTGAGACACGCATGTCCTTACACAGACCAGCCAAATTCGGGCAAGGCCTGGAGGGACTAAATGCTGCAACCATGGCAGGGATCCTTCCCACAGAAAGGGTTTGTCCCACATTCTCTGCTCCTCTCTGCCTTGCTGTCAGTTTTGTCACTCCTCCCCACTTGCCAGGGGCTGTTGTTCCACACAAGGTCCTCCTCTTTCAGCCCCTGGGCATCTCCTGGTCCATCAGCTGTTGCTTGTGCTGTGGTAGTACAGTGAGGTCTGCACCAGGACATTATGGTGGTAGGACCCATGCAAACACACCAAAATGTGCTTTTTGCCCTGGGTGATCAGTCCCAATGGCAAAAAAGCCAACTCAACGGGGAGACAGGAGATGAGAGCAGTCTGTTGCATGATTAATTTATATCCTCAAAAGTCTGAAATGCTCCCAGAAACATTAGTATTCCTTATGTAAGAAAGCTGTCCAGATTTTCAACATATCCCTGCCTTATTCCCACATCTACTGGAATTAATAGCTGAAGGCTTGTAAAGCCCAAAAGGCAAACAGAGGACTGCATTTAATCTAATGCAGAGGCTGAGATCATAGTTTGGGAGTCTAAGCGTTGTCAGAAGCAGAGACAGCCCAAATTCTCATTTATACTGGGACACTTTTATAATATCCTGAAAGCATAAATGCACCTCAGAATAGGTGCCATGCCAACACTGACAGCCTGTTTTCACTGTGGGAAATGTTAGTAATGTTAGTAAATGTTAGCCCTTCAGAGAAATGAAGAACAAGTGGAAATAAAAATCCCATTCCTTACGTCTAAACCCAGTAGAGGTGACACAGCCCAAGAGGTTCCTAAGGTAAATTAGACTCCAGACAGTTCTGTATATCTGTGTGCATGTGTATAGGTCTGTAGACCTGTAAAAAAGGAAGCTGCAGATGCCCTGGAAGAATGATGAAAAATTCACCCAAGTGATTTAAAAGTAAGCATCACTCATGCTTGTTTATTTATTTTATTTTATTTTATTTTATTTTATTTTATTTTATTTTATTTTATTTTATTTTATTTTATTTTATTTTATTTTATTATTTTATTTTAATTTTAATTTTTATTTTTTCACACTGCTTAATTGCTCCACAATGGCCTATTCATTGCACCCAGATATGATACCACTTCTCTGTTGAAGTGGTCACCCTGTCTAAGTCAGTGAGGGATTGATCCTCCGGGATGCATAAGTGCCATCTCCTGTTTCCTATATTTAAGATTTCACTGAGGAAGCTGTAGTGCCAACTGTATCCAAAGAAGTGCTGGGGTAACAAGGACCAGTGCATAAGAAGTTTTGTTACTGCAAAATTACACATTGGGAGCTACACTTGTATTAAAATCAGGCAAGAAAAGTAAATCCTGCCATTCCTACCTTCAGTTATACTGTGTGCTAACCTTTAAACAACTACTTGTTTAAAGATATACAGGCTAGAAGTCATGGAGATCTGTATACCAAGTTCCTTGCTCTCTTTAGTTAACAATAATTCTTCCAAAGCTCTTTTTTTTTTTTTTTTTTCAAAATTTTCCAAGGCAAGTGGCAAATGGAGAGCTTCAAGGACTGTTGTATGTTCTCATTCATGGCAGAATTTAATAAGTTAATAATTCAGTTAACATTATATAAGACTGGAGAGAATATCCTAGTGATTGATTTATTACTATTATTACTGTTATTATTAATATTGATAACAAAAGTGTTTATCATGTCATTGGTTTAAAATCCACTGGCCTGTAGTGCATTCACTGTTTTTAGACCAACCCACCACACTTTTGCCTTTGCTTTGAAGAGAAATGTGAAGAAGGCAGGTTTCCTGCAGGGGGAGAATCCTAAATGTGCGTGTTAGCAAGACACTGCCGTGATACCTTCCTGTAACTTGTAGGTGGGATTTCCATGGGCTCAGGGTGCTCAAAAAACACCATGAGTACGATATCTCACCAGCCAGGAACATTCTGACTTGTGACTGAATATCTTGCTTAATAATTAGCAGAGGCCCTATAAGTGACGGAAAAAAAGATGTGTATGACCAAAATACAGCACCAAGAACACTTCCTTGGTGGCCTCAGTCTGTGTTCACCAAGGCTGAAGGATTGCATCCAAGTCAAAAGATTTGGTATCCTATAAATATTAGTCTCTCATTTCAATTTTTGTTCATTCTAATTTATTAAAGTTTACTGTTCTTACTATTTTTACTACTGTCATAATTATCAGTATTGATAAATCTCTTTTCCAAAATTCTTCCATTACTTTTGTGGTTCTCAGGCCCTGGGACCTTCCTGTTCCTGAAGTACAAACAGCTCTTAACTGAGCAGCCTCTGAGTGCTTTGGGCAGCAGAAATTCCTTTCCTGTTTCTCTCGAGGCCTTCTTGGTTCCTTCAATAGTATTTGCTGAGGACAATAGCTTGGAACCACACATTTATTCCTATGATGTTACATCCTTTTCAGTCCTTCCCCTTTTCGGGGGAAGTCAGGGTTCGCCCCTGACTAGCACCACATTCATATTGGAGGGGTTGGTGCACATGGATGAGCTTCTGGCCAGGGAGAGCATCTTTGTGGGCAGGATGAGGGGGGTTTGACTGGAGTAGGAAGCAAGCTGCACCCAGGTGGTTGCACCCTGGTGTGTGCAACTCTGTGCTCTCACTGGGTAACAGTGTCGACCGTATCTTGGCGTGTTGACAAGCAATATGCATCTCTACACAAGCAGAGGCAAATCCACCTCCTCCATAAGCATACTTAGATGAAAACACAGAGAGCTGAACTACTGCCACTTATAAAAACATATGCATTTTCATATATAAATACATATTTCATATATAAATAGCCTCATGAGGCCAGTTTTGGTGCATTTGTATATACCAAAAGCAGAAACATGAATGCTATGCCACAGACACTCCTGTGAAATAAATTTTGTCTTCAGTTTCAGTTTAATAGCTGATGAGCTTTCTGCCAGACGTATGAATGGCTTTGAGAGGAAAAGCATGGGAAGGAAAATGAAGATGTGATCAACCTAGGAAATGGTTCTTGGGAAGCCTTCCAGCGTTGTGAGCAAGTGAACACAAGAGCAGATTAGTGCGGTGCGCTGTCTGATGGATGCTCCAGCGGTAGGTTCACAGGACGTATGCTGTCTTTCACTGAGAAACAGACATTCATGGGACGAAAGAAAGCAAATGGATATAACAGACTCAACCTTTAAAGTTTTTAACAGAGACTCGTGAAATTGTACTAAAGAACGGAGACTTGCGGACATACTAAGAGATGTCAAGACCTGAAATGAATTGATGGACCACAGTCACAGCTAACTGACAGTGACAAGTGTTGTTTTGGACTGTTTGGGCTGGAAATGACGTCCTCAGAAATTAAACTGAGCCCAGCACTGTCAGAATCACCATTTTTCAGCTGCTCTAATAATCCCTTTCAAAAATCTCCCTGCATGGTATAACACATATCCGCATTTCTGTTTCCGAACAAGAAGCAAACAGACAAAAGAGTAATTAAATGTGTGAAAAATATTAAACTTCAAAATGTTGTATACACTAAAAAGGACAAAGGAATTGGTACAGAAAGAAGTAGGAAGGCTAGGAAATGGATTGGGAATAACAATGAGATTTCTACATGAAAAAGGAAAAGCTTTTGTTTCAAAGATGAAATACAGAGTTGAAAATTGTAATGACAGAAACTAATAAAGATACAGCCTGGGGTGGAAAGTAATTTCAGGGCTATGTAAACAGACACATTTTAACATCATACACCGATATGACAACCTACATTGCACTTTGTATAGCATTAAGTCCAAATTGTGGGCACTCTGGTGTCAGAAAGAAGGGAAACAATGCGTTTGGAAAGTGAATTGAATGTGTGATTGGGGAAGCATTGCTTAGGAAGAGTCTTTGTTTGCAATGACTGCAATTACAAAGTAATTCCAGCAGGGACAGAAATCCCCACCAAAGAGAGTTATGGTATTAACCTGTGAGATATACCACAGACCAAGGCTGAAGCAAGAGGAATCTCAGCCAAAAAAAGGCGAGATTTTTTTTTTTTTTTAAATAAAAAAAAAGGATTATATTTATGGAGGGGCTTTGTGGCTATTGCAATGATAGTCTGCCAGAGTCAGGACCTAACACAGGTAGGCTAATGATGCAAACCTTTGTTTACAATGAAGGTTAGTTTGTTGACATACTAGGAGAGAAAAAAATCAAGGGAAAGGAAGATCCATTGTCTGTCCCTTTATTAGGAGGTCTATGGCTAAAAAGAACCTAAAAAGGAGGCACTTGTGGTTGCATAAAGGGTCTGAACTGGAAGTTATGACTGTATGGCATAATGTGCAATTGAGACCTGATACAAAACCACCAGTCAGGTCAGTCTTTCCATGCGTTTTGGGAAACTTTGAAATCATCAGGTCTGTGTTGCTCTACTTCAGATACTGCCCAGACCCTGAGGTCATCCTGCTTGCTCCCAGATCTCCCCAGAAAGACTGATTATAAAGAAAAGCTGGCACTCCTCACCTTACCACCTTGGTGCCGTTCCTCATGACCTGCATGTCCACCATGCAGCCACCAGTGACATATGCAGCCAGGTTCAGCTCAGAGAACTCAGCCTGGAGTGGAGCAAAAGGACAGAGCGTTACTCAAGGACAGCAGAGACATAAACACATGAACACAGACACAGAATTGTCTTCAGATGGAATTTGCCTTTCCATTATTATTATTATTATTTTTTTCAGTGAGGCAATGGGAGATCCTGTTACAGCTGATTTGCCCCAGAGAGGCTGCAGAAGTATTTATGGTCCCACACTTGGGTGTACAAACTTACAGGATTAGGCTTATTGCAGTAATAAGTACTGAAGGAATTAAGAATGAGCAAGATGAAAAACACATACAGGAAAGAATAATAATAATAAAAAGAGGTAAGGTCATTTGAATTCAAATTCCAAGTTTCCACTTGGAAACATTCATTTAGAATTATGTCTGAGTTGGCTGTCACGCCACTGGCCAGCCATAAACCTAATACAAAAGGTTTAAACCTCCATAAATAGCTAAAAGGACTCATTATGCTATAGGAAAGTGATAAGCAGAGGCACCCACCTAATTCAGTTTACTTGTTAAGATTTTAACTATTAAAGGGTTAGCGAAGCTGGGCAGACTATTAATGGTACTACACAGTTATTAAAACACTTTATCTTCTAAAAGAGGTGCAACTTACGAGTCTGGAAAGGTTGTCAGGGAATGTTTAAGCTGTGGGGAGCAGAAGGTAAATGTGCACTGAGTGATTCTGGCTGCATAGAGTGTCAGTGAAGGTTAAGACACAAATCACAGCGATTAACGGGGCGAGAGGTGTGACAATCCTGTGGCGTGGCAGCTGACTGTGCTCCGGGCAGGCAGCAGTGCCAGCAGGACTTGGTGAGCCCAAGCCACTCAGAGCAGGAGGAGGACGTTGGGATTGGCTGATCTGCACCAAACTCAGGCTCCAAACCCTAAACCTGTCTTTTACGAGCCAGTGAGTAGACCTCAGGCTATCTTAACCTATTCATATATGGTGCTTTTTGTTGGACTATGCAAAGTCTTTCTTTCCAGTTAACTTTTATGGATTCAGAATCCTGTGTTAAATTATTGGGTTTGCCTGCTCAAGATGAGATTTGCCTGTATATATAAATAATCAGCTTTCAGTTTTTCAGACAAAAAAAACTGTCTTCTCCCTTTCAACAGCTTTTTTAATCCTGCCTGTTAATGTGTTTCTTTCAGAGGTAGTATGGTGGAGACTGGGCAGCAGTAAAATCATCTCCTAACCACTGGCTACCTAATATCAGAGCACTTAGATGGTGTTGCTTATTGTGATTTTATTACGATGATTGTAGTATTTAATGTTTGGATATTTCTACTAGATGGAACTGGAAGATAGTGCCAGGAACAACTTTTACACAGAAAAAAAATACAAAAATAATAAAAAAGAAACACCATGTTTTTTTCCTCATGGAAAAAACTTGCAGATGGAGACTTAATGCACCTGTAAAGGCTCAGAGGCCAGACGACAAATGAAAAAATAACTTCCAACTTTCTTTTTTTAAAATCCACGTAATTTGAAAGCAATGGCTGTGGACTGTTGACCTGATGATGTAATGGGATTTCATGTCTGCGGCCCTGTGTAAACTTTTCAAAGCAACACCCTTACATGATCTTACATCATTTTAACTCACAATTATAATGGAAGGAAGGGGAAAATTCCTGTTGCCAAGAAGTAAATCCTACTTCAAACACACACACACACAATGGCAGTGATTCAGGTGACTTGCTGGACTTTTCTTATAAGATTGCATGGTACTGCCACACTGCTCAGGTTAGCTGATCTTCAGTGATCATATTGGATCTGAGAAAAGCAAATCCGTACCTCTAAAACTCACCTGCATTTAGTATGTTTAAAAAGCTCAATAAAATAAGGAGTGGGAGTTCATCTTGAACAAATTCAGCAAGAAGAGATGCTTTGGGTACCATCAGCAATCTCTCCAGTGGCTCCAAGTGGGACACAGCATACCTGCTTGATAGCTTTCATGTGTTTGTGAAAGCTTTATGGAATGGGGAGATGAAAGGATGGGTTTTCCACCTCTGTGACTGCAGAGAGGTCCCAGTCAGAGAGCCACTGAACCGGACCTTTGGCTTTTGCAGCTGAGGGAAGCATCATCAGATATGAAATCAGAGCTTTAGCTTTAGGCCTGTATTTTATTTTTATTTTTTTTTAATGCTTTTCTTCCATAATAATTCCATAGTGGGGAGTCCTCATCTGATGGGCTGGCAAGTACAGCTGAATTAAGCCAGCCTGACAGGCATTGCCCAGAGGCGGTCGGACCAAACAAAGCTGTGTTCAGACACCTGACATCCAAACAGGCCTGGGAATCCCCCGAGCTGCTAAGTGCTCCATACCAAACTGCCAGGACCAATTTCAGGCCTGCTAATGTCGAGAGCCAGAAGAAAGGGAGAAATCCCTTGTGGCAACCATTGTCCAGGGCACCCTGGCAAAGAGCGAGGAGAAACAGGGCCTGCGGGACTCTGCAAACCCACAGCATTACCCCAGCCCCAAAACGCCCAGAAATACAACCACAGCTGAGGAAGAGTCCCTAATCTTTCCCTGCCACTTAGCTTTAACGAGCTAAGTCAAGGACCATTGCTGCTCTCATGTAGCTGCTTTGTCCGATCCGACAGGCTGCAGCGAGCTGGCGCTTGGAAGAAGGCTGAAAACTTCAGTCAGCAGAAATTGTTTCCTGTTGATTTTCCAGTGCTCCCTGTATTTTTGACTTTGTGGGTTTTGTAGCCTGATGATTTCCCTTGGCTGGGCTTTCAAGTCTGAGATCATCTCCAGCCTGCTCTTACCTTGCAGACAAAGAGGCCTTTGAAAGCAGGCTGAGCAGATAGAGTAACAGGTAACTGCAAGAACCTGGAGAGCGCAGCTCTCCACTGCCCTGCACAGCAATTTTTGTTAGGACCCATCAAAAATTAGGCAGAAATACGTCAGATGGTGTTTTATGCTTGCTTTGCAGATGGTGCCAGTGGCTGCAAAAACATCTAGGGTAAGAGTGAACCCCATGTGACAAACGTGACACAGTTCATTTTAAGAATAATTTAATACAGACTGTGGGACTTGTATTCTGAATTTTCATGAGGCCCAGATTTGAGAGAGTGCCCACAAATATTTTGAGGATAGTTATGTTAAAAATGCCTACTATTTCAGGTATTTGGATTCACAAATCTCTCCAGATCATTTGGACTAAATCTTAACCTACTCTCCATTTCTCACATCAGTGTTCCCTAGGTACTCGGTATCTTTCTGTTGAACTATTTTAGGGTTTCTGTTTCTGTTTGCTGAGAATGAAACAAAGAGGATTTTGTCGTTTTAAATTATGCCGTAGTGGAATGTCTGGCCTGACAGCCATATGTTAAAACGCTTCCTGGGAGGCATGTGTTCAGGCTGGATTTAAACCATAAACCAAGTTTCACAGAATAACAGAAGACGGGGGTGGAAGGACTTCAAGACATCAGACAGACCATCTCTCCTTCCTAAGGCAGGATCAGGTCTACCTCTGCCGTTGTGTGTAGGTGCTATGTAACTTTTTTTGTATCTTCCATGGTTAAGGAGCCTCCTCAGTCAATCTGTGCTTTAACAACCTTGGAAAGTTTTCCTGATGTCTGACCTAAGTTTCTCCTCTTGCTTTCTAAGCCCATTGCAGAACTTGAAGACTTACTGCTTGAAGACTTACCCTTCCTTCTTCCTTATTTATATTTATATTTTAATTTTAATTTTTAATTTAATTTTTAATTTTATTTTTTATTTTATTATTCTTTTTTTTTCCCTAGAGAAAAAAACAAACATTCCTGTAAGATTCTCTTTTAGGCAATTTCAGCAGTGTTATTGTCACTGGGCTTCACTCTGATGGGGCTGCAATAGTTTTAGGTTGTGACAGCCCAGTCACCATGATCTTTTAGCCGAGACCGGACCATTGCTGAGCAAGATGGAAGGACGAAGCCACTTGCCTTACAAAGGAGACTCCTGCTCAGTCTGGCATTACACTCCAGCCTTCTGCAAGTGAGCAGGGGTCTTCTGAGGAGGCCGCTCTCCCCTCCTCCTCGGGGCAAACTGGAGCTCCACAGTTCCTATCTCCTTTGTCTCTCCCCTACCCACCAGTTGTGCCCAACCATCCCACAGGCCTGGGAGGGCTGGTTTCCTTTTCCTTTCCTGTGTCACTGAGATGACACTCACTATGCACACCCAAGCTTCTCCTCTTCTCCTCTCTCATCCCTGCTGTGTGTGCACATGCTTGTACACCCATGATCTAGGTCCTGACCTTCCTGTATCCTTTCCAGCATCCTTCCTGCCCCCAGCCTGCTGTTGATGGAGGTCTGGAGCTCTGGGAATGAACTGACATGGAAAATGATGTGGGATTTGTTAAATAGGATCACAAGGGACAGAACCTGAGCAAAGGGACTGCTATTTTTTTTTTTTTAAACTCCCTCTAGAGCCAGCTCTCCACCTGGAAAGCACCATCCATCTCCCCAGATATTCCCAACATGTCCCTGTGAGACTTTCTGTTTCATCTCCCAGTAAACTGTGCTACACAACCAGCCTCTGACCAAGGCTCTCTGCTCATCTAATCTTGCTCTTGCAACTCCTCACCAATTATCACTGTGGGTCTGTTTTGCTCCTCCTTTCCTGTGACACAAAATGCAGTCAGAATAATAGGCTGGTTTGTGTCATGGCTTGGGCACTTGAGATGAAGAATTACTAATGTCTAATCAAATCCCATACATTCCTTAGTGGATTTTATGCTTTAGTTTCTTGGTGGACCTTCCAATACGTATAAGGAAAGAGAAACTTTGGCAGACACCAGACTGCATTCCAGTAACAGCACATTTCACTACAACCATTACAAGCATTTCATGGGGGAGGTAAGCAGTCCCTAATCCCTGCACAGGCAGGAGAGTGAACAAATCATATGGATGTGAACTGGGGGAGGACCAGGGCAGTGTGTACTTGATACATGAATTAATCACATACATGAAGAATTAGAGATTAAGCAACCCCTGATTCCCAAATCTCTCTGCTGAGACATTG